TGCTGTTCAACTTTGCGGTTTAGCGGTCGAAGCTTACTTTTAACTAGCTGCGCCAGCGACTTCTTTCGTGTGGAAGTTATTTTGTCGGCAAAATATGTTTTGTAATTCCCTTTCTACTCCTTATAAATTATAGCTGTCACCCACGACGTCATTCGCGTCCCGTCGTTCTTGCAAGTTAATCTTTTAAAAAAATAGACAGACTGTCGCGGACATTTTGTAAATTATTTAGTGAGGAATCACTCTTCCATACATATTTTTTTCGGATATCTTGAAACGTTTTCAAACAAACAAACTCTTCAGCCTTATAATATTATATTGGTAGGTGCATACAAAATGTTAAAGTAAATTTAAACCCAAAATTTTTTCATATTGCTTCGTAAAGAAAACCCACGAGCTTTGCAGAGCTTTTTACACTGAATTTCCTTCTATAGAAAATACGAGAACATATCTATACAATCTGCTTTACAAAGGTTATTTTCTACTTTTAACCTTATCAATGTTTTTAAAACTAAAAACAAACGAAAGCAATTTTAATCAAAGCGCAGGGGTTACTGAATAAGAGAACAATCCGTTCACAGAACTATGCGATGTACACAGCTGCAAGCGATTGCTAGGCAGCGAAATGTATTATTTAGGAAGTCTACGCACCCGCGGTAGCCTCTTAATATTTTAAACCGGCTTTCGATATAAGTTCAATTTACATGTACGTTATATTTACAAAAGATTTTAAATAAATATTAAGTTATAGCATTATATAAAATAGAAACCGATTTTAGATTGAAAAAAAAAATATTCGACGATGACGGAACAAAAACTTTTTTGAAAAAAAAATTTTAAAAATCTGAAATCGATTTTTCATTTATAAATATGTACTCAGTTGTTCAGCATCAATTGTTCGCGGCGTAATCCTGACTAATATTATAAATGCGAAAGTAACTCTGTCTGTCGGTCTATTTGTTACTCTTTCACGCCAAAACTACTGAACGGATTTGAATGAAAATTGGCACACAGATGGTCTAGACCCTGAGAAATATTTATAGGGACATATCTTATTACGTAATTAGGTTAAAAGTTAAATAAATTGAGGTTTTAACAGAAATTTGTTTTTTTTTTTTTTTGGGGGGGGGGGGGGGGGGGGGGGGGGGGGGGGGGGAGGAAGGGGGGGGGAGGAGGGTGTTGCGGCAAAGTAGCACTTACAACTGGATTGCTTGCGCAATTGCATAAATTAATAAATAGTAAATAAATTCTACCCAAAAAAAATATTCCCCCAAAAAAAAGGGGGAAAAAATTATAAACCATTGCATTGTTTATTTAGTTAAACGCACTTTTAACATGAAATCAAACGAAGTTACCTACACTTATATAAAAACTATTACATGTTCAAAAGTTTATATAAGTGGGTTGTCTGGCTTTTTGTTGACAGAGAATGGACGACTGGCGCAAATTAAAACGGGACTTTTCCAAGCCTTTGTTTGTAATACGTTTAGCCCCTGTAAAATACAGTGGCTCGTAAAAGATACAACCGATCTGTAAAATCAAATGGTTCGTGGTACATGGAAAGAATCCTAACGAAACCAATTTTTGAATTTTTCAGCATCACATTCCATGACGTCACGACGTCAACATTTCCTGCGAGGGACGCAGACCGACCCTGTATTCGTCACAATGTTATCTCTACGCTACACTTATCACTGCTATATGTGACAGTCTGTCCGAGTCATTGTAATGACAAATTAAGTCATTTGTGTATATGAAACATATATTTTTGCTTATTTTTATTGCATTTTTCTTTTTTAATTTTTTTCTTATTTATTATTGCGTTTCGACATATATCCACAGACCGAAACGAAAATATATTTTACAGCTTTTGCATTTATGGTAGGTGCTTCGTGACCCAAACAGAGTTCTTACCACACGTTAATACCTTCTACCTAACATGTGAGTATCCACAACCTTAAATATATTTATATTTATTACAAATTAATAATGAATATATATAATTGTATAACAAATTAATATGTATAATTATGCCATGCATTGCTTGCTTGCGTATACAGTGACGAATATTTATCGATGAAAATTTGCCATTTACCATTGTAACAAATGTTATCTCGCAAGTAAACCAGTGATCCAAAGCTTGTTGTTTCCATCACTGCATTATGTCACTTTTGTCCTTCCTGTTCGTCACGTTAGTTGCTTTATTATAATCGCGATAAACATCTAGGAACCACATCCCATTGTGCAATATACACGCGACAATGAACCCGTTTTAAGGGCGATGGCCTCCAGACGAGCTGCGTGTTAATTATTAGCTAATCTCTATAGGTATGTATATATTTATCAAGGAAGCTTTTGTGTTGAACAAGTCTTGTGTACATATCCTATATCAAATTGGTTTCAGACCACTATAGTATATAGATTTGACGAACACAATGTAATTCGTAATTTATCAGTGAAAACGGTTTAAGATACCAAAATAAATGTATTAAAAATGATTTTAAGAATCTAAATGCACATAAGTGTAACTTAAACCTATATTTTACAAAAACCGCGGGACGCGGGCGACGTCCTTTGTGACAGCTATGATTTAAGATGAGGAGGTTTGAAAAACAAAGTTTGCTGACCAAAATAACTGCTATACCGACGAAATCACTGGCACAGCTAAGATATATCAATATATACCTTATGCTCTTTCCCTTCAACAAATCGTTGCCAAATAATGTCATAAGGGAAGAACAGATAGATAAAATAGGGTATTTTTTCAAAGCAGAATACAACATTCCGTGTAACGAGCCTTAGTCACTAACAAAATTCCATTACACATATCAAATATCACTTCCTTTTAATGAGTAAACAGTTAAGTGTTTAGTGATTACGTTTAAGCACTTAGAGAGGTCAACACGTCAACTTAGACTCATCAATCCAGCTAGTTGGTGTCTCGCCAAGCTGTAATTGAGAATTAACAACCAATAATCACGAGACCTTGGGCTTTGTCCAGTAAGAACCATTAGATTTGCGCAACAGAAGTCACGATGCACAATACACCTGACCAAATCAAAGATCGGTATGTTGTAAGAAAATCACCTGATATCTAAAACATTTTTTTTTATTCGAGGACAAACTATATTGGCTTTGGATATTCAGATACCCACAGACTGAAACTGAAACGCGATTAATGGCTTTTTCAGCTGTGGATGGTTTTTACGTGACTCGGACGATCGATATTCTTACCACACATTCAAGATCCAGATTTCCCGACGATGTCTAACATTTCAGAGAAATTATAAATTGATTACTTGTTTGACCCCATGGGGATCGAACCTACGACCCATTCGGTCATACATTGCTTCCATTAGACTGACGAGACTGTCAATGTATTATGGTATTTGGCTGCAGTAGGTAGGTTTTGACGACAAAGTTTGAGAGATATAAAAATGTCTCTATATGAAATTAATTAACAAATATATGTAAAAACCTATCTTAGTTATTTAGATTCAATCAATTATTGTAGAGGGTTGTAGGTACTTTAAAAGAATTTCTTTACCTTTAAATACTTCTTAGTAGGCAATTACGTAGTTGTAACTAACGAGAGTCGTACAGGTCAACAAGGAAAAGTCATTTCTAAGCCATTAACGCATGAAAGCGCCTTCTTGGTTTGTAAAGCAAAGTGGGTTTTCGGGCCGAAGCCAAAGTTTGGTTGAGTCTCAGGAAACATGGTAATTTGCAAAAGTGAACGAAATTAGTATTTCACGTAAGCATAATTATATTGAGTATATAGTTACGATATCTCGCTGAGACTAGGACTATAGGTTGAATTTTTTTTTTAAATATCTATCTGAATTATATTAAATTATTTTAAAGAAATACTTTTTTGTTAATGTAATTAGCAAGAATTGCAACGCAAACGGCAAATTTCACTGTCGGCCGTAGCTTTAAGTCTCGCTTATCAATCATTTATCAATGTGATATTATTTTTAAATTACTTATCTTTTTTAAGAAGAAATAATCAAGAGCGAGGTAGGTCAACTCCACTCGTGGCGCTACTTTTCTGCATCATACAGACGACTGCCCTCTGAAAGTCATAAGCATAATACATCTCCATCTTCCATCAAACGGTCATAATACTATCTCCTACAATAAACATAATAATATACCAAAAGGTTTGCAAAGCAAAAAGTATTTTAATTGTTTTTCGGCTTTGGCTAAGTAGTTTGACTTTAGTAGTCGCGAGGTGAAGAAGTTTTTATGTACTTACCTAATAGGGATCAGTCAAATTTTAAGAAAACGATTTGAAACAATCTTCATGGATACTTACTTAGATCAAGAAGATAATGTTATCTATTTATAGCCGTTGAAGGGTATAAAACTGTATTTCAATATGATATGACTAATAATGCCGCCAAAACGATATTGTAACAACGCGTGACATGATGTAAGATGTTTTTAATAAGTGGTCCAAAATATTTTCACTTGGCGGGAAATAGGTGTATCTTGGATGCATCCAATTTTTGCCCACGAATGACGTAACATTTGACAGATGTGTCTGAACGGAATAATATCGTAATTTTAAAAATATTTAACATAATTATATTTTATAGTTTTTCGATAAATAATCATAAAATCGTAAACTAAAGGTTTTAATTTAATACTGTCCGACTCCCTATTCAAAAATTATGAATATTACAACTCAAGCAGCAAATATACTTGTATCCCTGCTAAGTAAATATGTAGCCATAAAAAAAAATAACATAATACTAAAATAAACATTAACTAAAGTTCAGAGGACTGCTTTCATTAGATACCTTTAAGAGATTTTCACAAAGTTTCATCTTGTATGAAACCATCAATCGTGTGACGTTTTTGAAAAGAAAAGTAAATAGTAAATGCCAAAGAGTATGTCAACACAGCGGCATCATTTCAAGATAAAATGATAAATTAGATATCCAAATTATAAATTTTGGAAATTTAGTGCATCAGTATAGTACTGAGTAGTTTTCAAAATGCGTCCAATATTATTAAATTTGTTGCATAATTGTAAAAACAAAATTGGCCAAATACGTTTTTACTGTTCTGAAGTTGTACAACCTAAAAGTGATATTCAGCGAATTGCGGGTGAGTAATTACTTGATATTTATATTGTGAAATGCAAAAATGTGTGAAAATTGATGGATGTTTGTTGGTTTCGTATTTAAAATCTGGATCGATTTTTATATAATTTTATGGCTAATGCACCGACCGAGCCCCTCATTTTTCCCTCCTTGTAAACATATACTTATTTCTTTGTAGGCGACCCTCGCTTGATTGAATTCCACTCATCATGGAAACCTGATGAGGAAGATGACTTAAGAAGACAAATGCTTAAGGACATGCGAGTCATCCCTGACTTTATCAGTGAAGCAGAGGAGATATCCTTGCTATCAGAGGTGGAACCTCAGCTGAAGAGGATGAGATATGAATTTGATCACTGGGACAATGTTGGTACTAAAATTTAGCCTGTAGAATTTTCTAGAAAAGTAGATTGTTTAGATTGAACTAAATTTTTATTTATGAAAATGACTCCTAATTTTAAATTTGTGTGGTAGATAAAAGTATCTTTCTTTAGAGAGACAAAATTATTGAACTTTCTTCTCCACAACTATCAATAATATGCAATTAATAATTATTCATACATTTACAAGAAGACAACTTCAGTATAACTTCACAGTTGACTGTAATTAATTGTATACCTTTTCTACTGTTCCAGGCTATTGAGGGATACCGTGAGACTGAACGTAAAACTTGGAATGAGCAAAATAATGTAACTCTAGCCAGGTTACGCGCTGTTGCTTTTGAAAATGGTGCAGAGTTGCTGCCACACACTCATGTTCTGGATTTGGCACCAGCTGGATATATAAAACCTCATGTAGATGCTGTTAGGGTAAGGGTTTTTAAGGGTGATATGATGGGTAACTTACATTAATGTTATATTCTGTAAAGATGTGATTGGTTTTTAATATAAATTATAAGTAACTCTTGTATACTGAAAATAACAGTAATTTCACAAACCTATAAATAAAAATAAAACTACATGGGTTTACATTTTATTGGGTCAAAACTCATAATCAAATTTTTCTTAAAAATATATGAGAGACAAGCTTGAAGCTATCTTGTTAGCTGAAATCGGTTAGGGATTATTTTGAAAAACTTTTGTATTAATATTGAAAAACCTATAAACTGTATAAAGCTGTGCCATTTTGCTAAGTTTTGAGTAAGTTCTTGACTTGAGTGTCTAGTCCATAAACAATATAATTATATACACTTGTAACGGCAAAACCTCCAGTACCATCTTATAATTTCAATGGCAGAATAGCGAAGCAGTAAAAAAAACGACTTACTCAGCATTTTTATTATTTTCCAGTTCTGTGGTGACACTATAGCTGGTCTCTGTCTATTATCAAGTGCAGTAATGCGACTAATGCATGAGAACCAACCAGATTTTGTATTGGATGCCCTTCTTGCGCGGCGATGTCTCTACATAATGAGGTTTAATTTTATTTTACATTTCTGTGTCCCTCTTCTCTCTGAACTGTTTATTCTATAACTATGTTTTATCTCTTTTTTGCTAGCGGTGTAGCCCGTTACCAGTTCAACCACGCTGTCCTCTCCAATGAGCAGAGCATGTGGCGGGGTGGTAAGCTCCTGAAGAAGCGAAGAATTGCTCTCATCTGCCGCGAGCACCCCAAGAAGCCATCAGACGCTCTTTAACATAGCCAAGCTGAGTTGATAACTAAATATTTTCGTTTGATTCAGCTATTATTTACGTTTATCTTGAGTGTCGTTAAAACTTTGTTTATATTTATTTAAAAGGAGAAAAAGGAATTTATATAGTTCTAAATATGTATTAATTTCTTTATATTTTGGTAAAGATTGACAAATTATATGTTATGGTTAATAATTCCTACAACAATCAAGTCTTGGTTGTTTCTTGTTATAGGCTTGTTGAAATAATCTGTAATGTCAATTCTCCGCGGCTTTAGTTTTGTTACTGGTGCAGTTTACAGTTTTATATTTAGTACTGACGATATATGAGAAGATACGCTACACGAACAATTATTGTAGTATTAATTACCCTATCGGTACCGTATGTATTTTGCCATTGTTGTTGTACTTGTACAAAGAATTAATAACTGTGATATTATTTATACTACAAAATAGGAAATACATTTTTAAAAATGGCAACATAATGTGAAATGCGATATGTAAATGTTTATTGAATAAAATTGTTTTGTTACTGTTAAAACTCTGTTTTACTATTTATTCTTAATAGAATTACTTAAATAATATGGACACAGGTCCAAGCGTGTCCATCTTTCCGTTGATAAAATAAAGAACAATGGCCAAATTTGTATAGGTACTCTGGACCTGACTAAATTTTTTCGCGACCAGTAACAAGTCATATAGGGTTTGATTAACTTTGAGTTTAAATACAACCCAGTACACTATTTAAAAAAACCCAACATAAATTTAATAGCGTCAAAATTTTGTAATAAATAATTTTAACTAGGTTTTTTGTTAAGTATATAGCATTATTTAAAAGGCTGAATGAGTCTATAAGAGAGTAATCCTGGCTTAATTATAAGATATTATTAATAGTTACAGTATACAAAATAACGGATTTTTTGATATACATATAGATAACACACATCGGGTCGTGGTCAGGTACGATTTGGCTATTGTTCTTTAAACGTAAAACTAGTTTTCAAATGTAACCGCGGTCTCTTTTACAGTCTATTTTTTTAATAATATCCAAGTTGATCTTAGAGATCTTAGAGTTAGAACACCTAATCGTCATGCATTTCATCCAAGGTCTCCAGTTCAAGATACTCCACGTCCTCTGCTGGCGGTAATTCTTCCACGTCCGGTGCCAACCACTCTTCATCCTGATATAATAATTTATTACATTCAGTATATTGTCTATAGATTATGCGAGTAGTACACATTTAAGTAGAACACTTTTAATCGTTTTAAAGGCGACATATATTAGTTAAATTAAACCTAATTTGATTTAACAATGATCCGATGTTTCCAGATGTATTACTAGCTATAATATTGTCAATTATTTTTTATAATTTAACTAGTCTGTTTTTGTTTTACATCGTTAAAACACTCTTAATGGTTATTTAAATTATATCATTAGTTTAAATCTACTAGGTTGGTTTTGTAAACTAAGCACTACTTCAAAGTCCCACGTTCCCAACATAGGGTAAAAGGGCAGTGACATATCTGTGTATGCTATACAGATTGATATATTTAGGTAGGCCTATTGCTCTCAACATTACCTGCGGAATATCACGACGATGAACGCGCGCATGTCGCTTCATAGCAGCGACGGACCCAAACCTGGAAACAAATTTTAATATAACAACTTAATTATAATTTTATAACACATAACATACACATTGTAAAAACTTCCATTAAGGCAAGCACTTATTTGTCAGCAGCAAAGCTACCTAGCATACCACAGTTCTTAGTGCAGAACACGTATAACAATTCGCGCCTTTGGTTACAAGACCTTTGAACAGGGCTTAGGAACTTGACGCGTTCAGCTTAAGTATGGGCAACAGTGTGAAACACGTAGAGTCAATTGCTATTATCAGTATGATTTTAGAAATGGTAAAACAGTCAGATACTCGTATGTCAAAAATAATAAAACATTTTTAAAAAAAACGGCAAATAAAAATTATAACTTACAATCATTTGTCACGTGACACAAAACGCTCCCGATTGGTCGGGTTTATGACGTCACTTGCTTATAAACAGTCCTATAAACTACCAGGTACCTAATAATATTCAGGTTCCTTAACACCAAATAAAATACAGTACATTTTAAAATCAGTCATGTGGACTATATGAGTGATTTTAAAATGAATGTGTGTATGTGTGTGTCAGTCTGTCGTCGGATACTCACGAGCGGTCACAATTGGGGCAAGGCACTTTGTCACTAACAAAAGCTTTCTCCACTTCGCTTCTTGTCGGCGCTTGTGGTTCATTCTGTTCTTCTACCTTAGTACTTGCACCAGCGTGGCACGTACGTATATGCGTCATCAAGTCGTTTCTGTTAACGATATGTAATATTCATGTTTTTACACTACTTCCGATAAATCTAGCATTTTAGAGTCAAATCTTATTTATGTATTGTAAACGATAATGGCCAATGGAATATATTGCGCCTTTATTGACAGAACAATAGGAATATGTCATCTATCGTATCTTTATATTGACTATTAAGACACAAACCTTATTTGACCTCTAGAGTAAAAATTAAAACCTCTTAGTTTAAGGTTGAAATTACCTCGTCGGAAATCGAAGTATGCACAAATCATGCGAACATACGAAGCGATCAGCCTGTCGATGTGAGAGCTGGTGCGCGGGTAGTTGTTCGGCGGTCATGACTGTGAGGCACACGGGACAGACCACGTCCGGTCCAGGGTGGGCTACCCGCGCGTGTCTCGCAACTTCTGCCCGTGTCGAAAAACTCTCGGAGCAAAGTGGGCAGACAGGTGTGCCGCGTGATAAGTTCTGTCGAGAAGGTGTACCAAGTTCTTACTAGGGCAAACACATCTTCAAAATCAAGGCAAAAACATATGGGAACGGACAAAATCACAGAAGATATTATCAAAGAACTAAAGATCAAACAAATAATATGATCCTGCAAGCAAACCGGAGAGTTTAAAGGGGACACTGACAGCTGAAAGTGTGAACTAATCATCTGACCTTCTACTGGTGTCCCCAATAAAAAAAAAATTTCTAACTAATTCATCTAATTAACAATAGTAACAAGACAACATTTTGACAGACTTTTTGGTAAATAGCAATGTATGGCTAGTATGATCAATCTGGTCAAAGGTTCAATATTCACAGAGTCTAACACGTTTCCCATAAATATTTTCATCTAGACATCTCGAATTAAATGCGTAGTAGGAATATTGAACAACTCACCTTCAAACTCCTATCATTTACTTGATGAAGAATCTCGTGATCACGTAAGGCTTCTATGGACAAGAATTGAGCACCGCATGTCCAACAACAATGCCTCGCACTTTCGCCATGAGTTGATAAATGATTACGATAAGCACTGGTTGTCTGAAGCCAAAAATCGTATTACTTATTCGTTATCGTTATTACTTAGTGTAGTAGCCCACCGCCTCTGTAGCAAATGGTTAAATTTCTTGCCTAGATTTGCGTTAAGCGCGAGAGGTTTAAATCCCGGAAAAACAGTCAATTTTTTCGATTGGGCAGGGTACAGAAGTCTGATCAACTACTTGCCTGTAAATAAAACCCATCAGTGAAACAGACATAGAAATGTGTTTGCCCTATGCCCCACGAGGGGAAACGGGATTTCACTTTATGTCGTAGCACTCTTATTACATTTTACTACTACTAAAAAACCATGCAAGGCATTCTATTGTGCATCTTCTAACATTTATAGTGGGATTATTAATATAGTAAAGCCATGCTACTAGTCATTTTATTATTAAATTTATTTTAATAGAATAATAAATTTCATGGTTTTAAGGGCTTGTGTGATTTAGAGGGAAAATCTTAGACATAAATACTGGAATTAATGAGTGTGTTGTAGTTCATACTTGTAGAGATATTTACAGAAGTGGCATAACAATATGTAAATTAACTCATCTAACTTGATTATTTAATCAAGTCAAAATGACTATTTAGTCATTACCTGGAATGACATTGGACAAACAGTGCATTGATAGACAGATACTCCAGCAGCATTTCTGGCTCTCTCAATCTCTTCATTATCCAGTTCTGTAGCTTTAGCCAGGGCATCCCGCTCCACCATAAGAATATCTTCTTCATTATACACCTTGTTCTGTCCCCCTACTACTATAAAGACATCTATTTTCTGAAAATTGATGTAAGTAAAATATTAAAAATTTAAATTAAATAATAATTAATTAAGAAAAAGTTTACTATCTGTACCTAACTAAATCTATGACAAACACAATAAAAAATTTGGTACAGACAATTGCTATTACATGTAGATATATTACAAATTATCAACTTAACTAAATAATATGAGAGAATTATTTACCTCAGTCAGTTCTAATAACCTTTTCCGGAGTGTACGGATTTTCTCACTCAGGGGAGGTGCCGTTTTAGACGATAGGACTGAACTAAATTCATAAGCATCTACAGTACGCCGGATACAATTTGTACAAAACCGGCCTTCAGGTATAACCTGTAATTCATAAAATAACAGCTGAGGTCTGACTTTCAAGTAGGTATAAAGATATAGAAAGAGATTTGACACTTATTTGATGCATAACAACTAAAAACATCTTATACATGTTGTATTTTAGTTTGTTTTGTTTGCTTATATTCTGTAAGTAATTGTGATAAAATGTCTAGTCCTTAATAAATAAATCTCAATATAAATTAGCTCCGTATTAAATTGACTGCTGTCAATCAATGCAGAACACAGGACCATTGTCCATTTCAATAATTGATTTTATTAACAGGCTGCCTGTAGTGCCCAATAAGACCAACACTATGCCTTGGAATTTAAATACAGTACGCAGATAAGACCTTGTGCGAAAAGCAAAAGTGACCGAAGTATAAAAGTACATCTAATGACCTAGTGAAGACAGGCTACAACAATTAAATTATAATAAGACTATATATTTCTATATTCTTACCTTATTGTTATTAATCTGTAACAGCATAGCCCTAAAGGGCGTCTGCACGTCGACGACACCAGCATCGTACTCTTCCGGCGTTAGAAGACTGTCTGAATTGCTGCTACATATAGCGCAAGTTTCACTGTCTACTTCCACCTTCATAAACGCTGTGCTGCTCATTTTTCGTCTACAACAAAATGATGGTATTTAATAATTAAAAAGACTTGAACCTTTTTACAAATGCAATAGTACTCTAATAAATAAAAAGTTGATGACTTACTTTTACAAATAAGACTTGAAAACCGTTTGGAGTTAATATATTAGATTGTCAAAAGCGTATTTTTTTTCATTTTGCATATGTATTTAATTTATTAAAAGTTTTTATCAAAATAAAGTTAAACAGCCGCAGCGCCTAACCTAATAAAAAAAAAACAAAAAAAAAAAAAAAAAAAAAAAAAAAAAAAAAAAAACCACAAAAATTTTTTTTTTTTTTTTTTTTTATTTTTAAAAAAAAAAAAATTTTTTTTTTTTTTTTTGTTTTCCCCCCCCTTCCCCCTTTTTCAAAAAAGGTGTTTTTTTTTTTTTTTTTGTGTGTTTTTTGTTAAATTGGGCATATTTTGCTACTTTACCACTAAGATTAGACATTTGTTTTAGTTCTCTAAATCTTTTTGAGAAACAGTTTCATAATCTAATCAAAATGTCTATCGGTGTGCCCATTAAGGTTCTTCACGAAGCGGAAGGTCATGTTGTAACTTGTGAAACAAACACCGGTGAAGTGTATCGTGGCAAATTAATAGAAGCCGAAGATAATATGAACTGCCAAATGACCGGAGTTACTGTGACTTACCGCGACGGTCGTGTTGGTCAAATGGAGAATGTTTACATCAGAGGTTCCAAGATTCGTTTCCTAATACTACCTGACATGTTAAAGAATGCTCCAATGTTTAAACGACAAGGGAATAAACCTACTGCTGGGCGCGGGAAGAGTGCTATATTACGAGCACAAGGTTAGTTTTAAATATTGAACAAATTGAGGTTAGGTTGTGCTTACAGAACACTCAATAAATAATTTATTATGTGGTACATTTTAAAATAACAAGTTATTTAGAAAAATGAGGGCTAGAAAAGTACTTCTTCGTAATTTTAATATCCATTTCAGTCAAGTAGATAATTATTTCTTACAATATTGAATACATATTGTGTTATAATTTTCAGCGGCAGGCCGAGGTCGAGCAGGTGGTCGTGGAGGAGGGCATCGTGGTGGCTGGCAAGGTGGCTCAGGGCCTTCAAGACGTTAGATCTAGTTTTATGTTCAATCACCAATGAAGAATGTGTGTGTAATATGTGAAAACATTGCTCGTATTGATAAGGACTTAAATAAATAACATTTAATTTGTATCATATTTATTTCTTAATTATAGCAGTCTAATTGAGTTACACTTTACATCCACATAATTTGTGTTCTACATTAATACCAACATAACAGTCTTGGAACTAAATGGCTTTAGCCGTTACTGCCATTTAGTCTGTTATTTATAAGTACTTGATGTTGATTCACATCACATCTGTACAAGTGTTACAAGCATTTTTTTATCTAGACTTCACAAAAAAACATTCTCTATTTCATCCTAGTGTATTTACAAGTTCATCACTAACATTTAACTATGAAAAATGTTATATAAAATCTAGATACAGTACTAAAATCTTATACAATGTGGCAATGACACTACATTGCCAACAGTTTAAAACGCGAATGTATTAGTTAAAATTATTTAAACTACAGCCCGACGTTTTTAGGTTTATAGTCTCCCCGTGACCACGGCTGCTGTAAAGCATCCGCAACGTCGATCCGTAGTAAAATATTTTCAAATAAGTTTAACAAATATATGTCTCGTTTAAATCTGTTAATGGTTTATTTAAACATTCAAATTTGTATAGTCAAACTTTTAATTTATAGTCCTATTGAAATTTCCACATTATATAATACATGGAGTATCATAATACATAAGTTCTCACTCTGGTTAAACCAGGTTCAGGTCAAGTGTGAGCAGTCTTATCCAATTTTTCCTGTGTCGGGTCTGTTGTCGGCTTTTGGGCGCTTCGTGCACGCCGTAGTTCTCTGTATAGCGCTTGTGTCGGAAACTCTATTAACAAGGCGAGTGGAACTGCTGCTGCGTAGGCGATTACACCTACACCGAACCACTGATAAATCTGAAAATGTATCAATATTAGTTACGTTTTGTTACGGTACGACAATGAAATGAGGTGCACTAATAAAAAAAAACCGTTTTTTCCCGTGGGGCATGGCGTAAACAAATATTAGTGTCTGCTTCAATGATCGGTTTTATTTACGGGTAAGTAGTTAGACTTGTGACCTGCGACCGAAACAATCTAATACGTCCTCTGTATTCGAACTTAGGACTTCCCGCGCTTAACTCAACGCTAGGTAACACGTTAACTACAGAAGCGGGATTCTTCCACTTGACGGATGGTGAAATACCCCACTCATATAAAATCTAAACAAGATGTGCAGTCCAACTACTTAGGCGTTCGGCGTTCGCGATTAGCGAGAAATCTCGATATTCCTACTGTACATTTTCTAGACATGCTTAAAAAAGTTATATTTTAAAAACATGTTATTTACATTAGCCATACATTGCTACCATTGCAGCAACAAGCTCATCTAGAAGAGAAGAAGTAGAAGAAGATTTTAGCGGAATTGAACATTAATAGATTTTTCCTTTGATTTCTTACTAAAGTCGTATCGTATACATTCTGGCCAAATTATATTAAAATCAAGATGGTTAGTTGAAGTATAAATATCATCAACATTATAAGTATGATAGCAATATTACCGCATGCGGTCTGTCAAGCTGTATAGGCGCGATCCTTGTTGCTAAAAGTGCCTTGTTGAGCGGCAAATGCAGCAACAAAGCGCCGAATGACAGCCGAGGTACCGTACTACCCATGTGCGATAGCCAAGTACGCCAGGGAGCTGCAAATTCATCACGAAAAATTAAAAATATTTAGTGTTACAGTTACAACGGACAAAAAGATACATATAATTTGTACATTTTTTAAAGTATATTTAAATTACTTATAATATTTCGTCTCTAATAGGTAGGGACGCACTTTATAGTTGCCAAGAATGTACTATATTAGTTTTAAATAAACTAACTCTGTAAACAAGAAAAAAATGATGGAATACTATTAATATCCATTACATTAGTGCGTAGTTGTTTTGCTTCAAATAATAATAATTTCGGTCTTAAAATTATTTGATTGAATGACTTACATTTAATTCCATTAATAGCGCCCAATAACGCTACGATTACAAAAAAAACGAAGACAGGTCTTTCAAAAGCAGCTAAGGCGGCGGAGCAGAGCCTCTGTGGTAGGCCTCCACCTGCTAGGAGTGGAGATAGACCAGCCCACCATGCAGCAGCGGGCGCTGCACATATAGACAGCCAGCGGAATGTCTGAAAATCGTTTTTTTATTTAATTAACGAATCAGCAATATATTACTATTTATTACGTCTATTTTTATATGTAAGATCATTAAGATGTGTATATAATCTATGTACGCTGCAGTTATAATATGAAATATACGTATAAATAGATTGCTAAAGAAAACGCAGACCAAAGCAAAAACATTCTAAATAAGACACTTTAACGGTTTAACGAAATATATTAGTTAAGATGCTTTGCAACGGCTTGGTCACGTGGAACCAACGGCTGTAAAGGTCGGGCCGTAGGTAAAATAAGTGTAACTAATTTATTTCGTGTTTTAAAGTGTTAAAGTGTTTTATTTAAAATTTGTAACTCGCGTAAACTACAGACGGTGTTCTATTTTACCCTTTGTTTTATTTTGAATCAAACGTGTTTCGCTTCTCTCGTAAAAAATGCCTCCATTAGATAGATAATGAATATTTATTATCTCTTATCAGTGTGTAATCAAACACTTACATAACAGTCGACACCTATAAAATGAAATGCAGTGGGTGACAGCGATTCCGACGGGTTTGTGAAAGTTGTTACGAGCCTTATAGCCTACATAATTATACCTTTTTATGTATTTACGACATCTAAGCATTTTATTTAAGGTAAACCGTTCGTAAATTTTTACTTCTCTTTCGCATATCGGATGAAACTGACTAAGTTATGCAATAAAAGTATGCCCCAGCGCAAAAGTACGTAATTATGACAATTTGGCCAAACAAGATTAACGAACGATGACGATTATAATATGAACCGCCGCCGTTGCTTATGCACTAGATGGGTCCTGGGTTTGAATATAACGTCTTAAGGATAGCACAAAACAAATTTTAATTTACCAGATAGCATTTCTTTAAAATCTGTGCTAGCCTAAGCCCCACATACGGTCCCGCGATTAAATCTTACTAGAAAAAATAAGAAGTTTTTAGTACAACCGGCCCAGTGCGCATTACTGTTTATTGAATTAAAGCAAAAAATACATTTTTGTAAGTATTGAAAATCTCTTAAACAAATATATTTTATAACTTTTTTATTACTTCATTTTATAGTGGCCTCAGAAAAACGTAATGACACGCAATAACTGACATACGGACCGACCAAAAAAAAACGACGAATACAATTGAAAAAGTTTATTTGTCTTCTGGTTTGTTACGCAATTCGCAAAACCGCATATAAATAATTACGTATGCATATATTAATACATAATCGTTTCATTACAAAAATGTACATTTCACGTAGTTTAAGGCTTCAAAGTATACTCAAATAACATAAATGATACCACAGTTTGCAGTCGTTTGGAAATGTTGATGTAATGCGCACGAGTTGCCGCGTCGAAAATAGGGCTCCTTTGGTCGTTTCAGACTTGCTAAATTGCCTTTGTGTAACGCGGAAGAATTTTAACTTTTGAAATGTAATTAAACTTATTCGAAGTATTTTATTGTCGATACAAGTTAATAACAGGAAGAGTGTTTCTAAAAGTACATTATTATTTTATAAGTAAATATTTATAGTAGGTATTTTATGTGAATAAATTACTTAAACATCATCTAAAATGCATTATAAACGGTTCTTTATAGTATATTAATTCTATTGTACAAATATTTTGTACATAATTAAAAGTAAAAAGCTTTCATTGAATCTATACACTAAATCCTAATTACTCTATGTTATAGGTACTAGCTGTGCAAGCGATTTCGTCCCCGTAGTAGTAATTTTGGGAATCAAAATTTGTTTTTGCAAACCTCCATATCTTTATAAATTATAACTAACCAACGACGTCGTCCGCGTCCCGACGATTTTCCAAGTAAGATTATTAAAAGTTAAACATATAATGTTGCGGACATTTTTAATACCATTTAAAAAAGAATCATTCTTTCATGCATAATATTTTTTGGGTATCTTGAACTGTTTTTACGGGGGACGCAAGAGAAACCCTCACAGATGCATAATTTTATCCGTCTCTTTCACATTTTCATTTACTTCGCTCCAATTGGTACGTGATGTTTTATAGCCTAGTTCCTGAGATAAGTGCGTTCAAACAAACAAATAGAACGAGAAATAAAAAGGGTCGAACCTTCATTTCGGTGACGTGTATCCCGTCTTCTTTCAGTTTGTGGTGGATATGCGCGAGTAAGAGACCCCCAAATGTTGCTGCCGCGTTACCAAGTGGCGACTGATAGAGGACGTTGAATGATGCCTCACCACCATAAGCCACTCGCACAGATCTGTAAATGGAATTACTTATTTTTTGGATTGATGTCCCTTGCATTATAAGCCTATATTTTTCTACTTCAATCACAATTGTCTTAATTGAGAAAAGCAGTATATTTTCGATTAAGTAAATATCCCATCCACAGAGGTAATCGATTGGTGGGCTATCCTTGTTTTAAAAAAGTTTAAATTAAAAAAAAAGTCTTCATGGACATTGGTGAAGTAAATATTAAAGGGTTTTGTTTGGTACTTATTTAATATAGATCATTGTAATTAAACACTACTTAGTTTAAAGCGTAAAATATTATATGCGAATAACCCGTAAAAACAACAATTATACAGTTGAAAAACCAATTACTTCACATTAAATTGTTATGTGTTTTATTTCAACATGAACCAAACTACATGCAGTACTAATCTAGAACAGATAAAAATAATAATAATAGCAGCAGCAACAGCGGCACAATGGTGTTAGTCAAAGGTTCGAATCTTGCCTGTGTCATCGATATTGTCTCTGCACTAAATGAAACTAACACTTAAAACTGAACTTACTCTGGTCTGTGCACAACAAAGTTAGGTACTAGATGCCAGACATATGCGAGAATGAAATTTAGTGCTGTCACAGCTGTAAAAAGAGCTGCCAAAACAGGTATAGCGGCGCGGCGTCCACGCAGAACTAATGTTAGTATCAAGGCTAGTGCGTACAGCTGCATGTCTGCTGCCAGATACCTGGGAGAAATAAACAACGATATAATTGGACAAGCAATTTATTTTATTAATTATAATATCATTCAGTCGTATTTGTATAGAGTTGAACGTTAATTTATTCAAACCAAACACTTACAGGTTTTTTTACGTGCGGAAATCCTTTCGGATGCCCACGGCATCCGAAAGGAGCAAATAGGTTATGTCGGACTTAAACCGACTAAAACCGCACAGTAGAATCTCTGACACAAATGTAAAGACTTCGAATATACCTACGGGAGTTGACTACAAGTGATCAAGTCTTAGGTTAAAGTCTGTTTGATAAATTTCATTCATTTTTTTATTAAAATTTCAAAATAATTCAAGCGCTACGTAAAGAAATTAAATATAAATTCTCTTTCTTTAATATTCGCTATAGTTAATTCATTTTTCTAATGATTTATTTTCTTAAATTCTTTCGTGAAGTTAATTTTAATAACATAACCAACTCAAATAAGAAAGCCGGATCTTTATTTGTACTCTGTATAAGATATACATGATAGGTAATTAATAGTAGCTAAAAGCTAAAATATATATTTATTCCATATTTTCCCATCGCATTATTAAAATATATATTCAAACCATATTTATTTTGCAGAAACGGGCTATTAGATCGATTTGTGGTCTTTCCCACGAGAGTCTGTCCGATATAAGTTTGAAACTTTGAATTTTTAAGCATTGAATATCCTGTCAAGTCAATATATCTATGAAAATGTTTTGAAAAACGTATGTGTGGAAAAACGTAGATACTTTTAAAACAAACGGCTGTTTTCATCAGTACAATACACGTAATAAGGACAAAATAAGTGTACCAAACAAAAGGCTCCATAAAAGTAGTAGTTCTTTTCAAGGTAACTGCATACGATACTTTAATAAAATCCCCAGCGAAGTGCAAACACTCTCAATAAATAGGTTTAAATCGTATGTAAAACAAAAACTGCTTGAAAAGGGTTATTATCACGTTAATCAATATTTAAATGATAAAAATGTGGGAAGAACCCGCTCTTACAAGGAAAAATATGTAGGCACTAAATGTAAAAAGAATGTAAAACAAACTTGGCGATAAAAGGAGTGACGGCGAGTTTATTGCCAGTACTTCTCGTTCGTTCTACCTTGATTTGAGAACTGGTAGTAAATGTAAAGTTAGATTTTTAAATTATTTTGTGACGTTCATAAGTGTACATATTACGTGAATAAATTAAGTGAATATTATGAGTTTCTTTTTTATTTACTTACCACGTAGGTATCAAGCATTTGTCATTGGGATAGATGACGTTATTGAGATAGAGCAGATGGGTCCACCACTTCCCCCGACATACGGCGGCCTCTCCCTCTATCAAGGGCTTCCAAAGAGGACCGTCTCCCAATCTTTCCCACCAAGATGAAGCGAACCAGATTACCAGGAAATGGCTTGGGCTAATTCTGCAAACACAACAAACTAATAATCAAATAAAATCTCCTAATGTACGAAATTGGTACTTTATTCCTTTAAAAAACAAACTTACAGACATATATATAGTAAATTTTATAAAATCGTCGTCGTATTAAGGTCGTAGTTAAAGTAATTAAAAGAATGTTACCTGATACCTTAAGTATTTCAAACCGTTAACAGTGTATTATCGACTTACAGATTATATTACATACATATACTTTTAAAAATAAAAATGACTGAGGAAATGTAAAAGGGCAGCTGACTATATAAATATACAGAGAAAATTAAACGTAAACAAACTATATTTAAGAATGTTTTCAAACTACTTATTCTAGAACAACTATTAATTTTACTGTTACACATGTGAAAAGTATCTTAAAGGTTATTCGAAGACAAACACTAGGACCAATGCACACAAAATTACGCAATCTTTGTTGATGTGTGGATTTTTTTTAAATTTATTTATGTAACTGTAGAGCGAAATAAGAGCATACATGCAGAATCTCGCTCGTTTAACAGCCTGGATATCGTTGTTTCATTACGAAAGACTACAACTTAATGTGCAGTACCGTAACTGACCTGATAATTCTATTTATCATAGTCTCAAAGAAAGTGCTGCATATCGGCGTTTGCTTCTTCTGCATCAGCAGCTTGTGGGCGAGTAAGAAAGACGCCATAACGAAGAATATCTGCACAACGAGGGTGCTGTTTGTCATGAGCACCACGTCAGGTTGTCTTCGAATCTGACAAAAAGCAAACGTCGCTAGGTGGTTTTTACTATTGTGGCATACTATGGTATTATTTTTAATTTATTATCTTTACTACATCCCACATTTTTACATGATGGACAGTAAAGTTCTAACGGTTAACAAATTAAATCAATAACTCAAAGCGATTATTTTTTTAAACTAACTTAAAACAAAATATACTTAAGAGGGTTAACGAAAAAAGGATTGAAACATTATTGTCTTACATTTGATAGCTTAATATTGCAGATGCAATTTCATACAATAAACATTTTCCAAGCCTTTTAAAAAGACTACAACCTTAAAAATTAATTTATTATTAATTTTTAAGGGTTTATTAGAATTTTGTAGTATAATCTGGAGTCCCCAATATAATAATCATATTAATAGAATTGAAACAGTACAAAATAAATTCTTAAAATCGTTAGATTATAAATCAGGTTCGAATTGCGTAAATTATGAATTGAGTGCCAACAGACACAATATAAAGTCGCTAAGTCAGGTGACTATTTAGATGCTATTTGTCTGTACAAACTAATAGATAGCAGTATAGACTCTATACCTATTTTCTAGCAAATCGGTTTTAAAGTCCCCCGCCCCAAGGAGACGTTTCACAAGCTGTGATTTTTACAATAAAAATTTAAATTCAGTTGATATTTTTTGGTGGTAACTTTAAATACAAAACTTGCATATCTAATTTAAAATTTAAGTAGCAGTTTAAAAATTATTGTTATTACTTTTTTGTTCTTGTTCCTAAGATTACTTTTTCCTTTTACTGTGTTATAGATTTGTTGTGTTTCCTTCAAGTATGTATAATTAAGTGAAACTTTAGGTCTATTTGTTTAAGGTTACGTAATCTATTGTTTTGTATGTGACTGTTTGTTTCGTTTCCAAATAAAATAAAATAAATTTGATGACACGCGGAAGACGTACCCGCAAACATACGGATTCCTACTGTTTGTTGCCTTTGATAATTGAGCTACAGCGTTCTCATCGACAACAGAATGCAAGACAAAGTTTATTCTATACTTTCGCATTTTCATAACAACTTAAACAAAAAATAAATAGCTTTTCAAGTCACCTGTTCCATGCCTCTTGTGTCAGAAATGTATGAAAGAGTTGCGAGCCAGCACACGTGCTCTAGGATGACGGACATCATGCAAAAAGCCCTTAGTCCGTCCAGTGTCCGCAGATCTTCAGAATTGCTCTTAGGTGCTGGCGCTGTTAGAGCACGCCACGAGCGCGGCAACGACCAGCAAAGTGCCCAACTCAACTCTGTATAAAATAGTATGATGATAAAAAAATACAATAAACTGAGTTTGTATTCTGAATGGCATAATAGACAGAGCCGGACTTAGAGGTCTGGAGGCTTCGGGGAAAAGACGAGGGAAATCTCCCTGGCCCTAAAATATTTTCCAAATAAAACAAACAACTTTTTTTTAGTCAATTTTGATAATGAATAATGTACTGTGAAACCAAATACATACTTTCAGTATTTACGAAACATAGGAATATAATCGAAAATAATAAAATCTGTAATTTTATGTTAGCATTTTTTTTTAAAAAAAAAAATTAAAATGTTTATTGGTAGCTTCCCAGTACACATTTCGATAGCTCTTCCTTAAATCTGGCACTAATGATAGATTTAGTGGGAACGTATGAGTAGACAAATCGATCCGTCTAAAGTTGTAAGTAATCGTTTATTTAACTCTTTTCGGAGTAATATTTTTGGGAATTAATACTTATCAAGTTATTAAATTTTTGTTTTGCAAAGATTCCAACACAACTTAATCCTTACCTTTTTTAGCCTGATCATTAAGTGTTAGATCAAGACAAGTACTGATGGCTGCGAGAGCTATAAGGGTCGCGAACACCGCGGCGAAGGCTCGCTGATTGCTGGAAAGCGGCGTAAAGTCACCAGCTCCTCGTTTACAATAGTCGAGCTGGTACAGTCTCGCGGATATGTTGTAGTCCAATTGTGTGCTCGAATTTACACAGGACTCGAACCTAATACATATTACAGTAATTTAAAGTTTTTTATTTATTGATTAAAAATTAAAAAGTAACGTGCGTAGTAATTAACTTAATAAAAAAAAAGCATTGTATGTTATTTGTATAATATTGATTATATAGTGTATACCATTTCTCCATGTGCCCATCATAACCTGACGGTTCTGACGAGCAGTGCTCGGAGAGACATAGGCCGCGGTGCAACCGCGTGTGGTTGTAATTGTCGATCCAGTTTCCGCTCCATCCCTGAAAACAAGGCACCTAATTTACCCATTCATGCATCAGTAATATAGTAATATTGTGGTCATTTATTTTTAAGGATAGCACAACATCCTATACTAATATAGATTAATAAGTTAGTTTGTTTGTTAGAATGCGCTAATCTCAGGAACTACTGGTTCGAAATGAATGAATGATTTTTATGTTACGGCATATATCGAGGAAGGCTATAGGCCTTGCTCAATATAGATTTAAATACTATAAAACATCGCGCTGTTGCAGATAGAAACGATGATTCAAGGGAAAATTATTCATGCTTGTGGGTTTCCGTTGCGTGTGGGTTCAAAATACCCAAAAAATATTTTCAACCCACAGGTTCGAGGTTTGCAAAAACAAACTCGATTGCCCAAAATAACTATTCTACGTGGACGAATGCGCTTACTCAGCTAGTATCTTTTAATTGGATTAAAAGGGCGATCCTTTGTTACTAAGTGACGTCACGGACGATTCACGTATGTGCATCGACCTTAAGCAGTGCGGTAACGCGTATTACTTGCATGTGCATTGCGCTCACTGACCTCTTGGTACGTAGGGTTGCCACTAGAATCGTTATATTTTAAATGCCCTACACATTACTCTTTCCAAAAATGACTGAGTTCAGACTGAAATGCAAAACCATAAGAAAATGTGTTGGATTTTAAATAAAAATAGGTAAAAAAACTTTTTAAGTTAAACGGTTTTATGTTAAACATACATTGCAATGTTTAAGATATATGTACTAAAAACCAAAAAATAATAAAATAGATACACTGGACTGTGGTCGTGGACTGTATCTATATTATAAAAATAGGTAAAAAGTTCTTTTACCTATTTTTATTTTCTAGTTTTTAGTTTTTATTTCGTATTCTGCTTAATTCATTTAGCGTTTGTTTGTACTTGTTGAGACCTTTCATTTGATACCCATCTTGATGGGATTAATAAAACCTACGTTATTCGCTTTTTTGTAGCGGCCGCCATCTTGGATTTATAATGATAATGAATAAACATAATTATATTGTCACCAAAATCCAAAGTGTAAACAAAATTTCAGATTAATCGGTTGACAGGAAGAGGGTGAAATTTGAAATTACTAAATTTGACCCAAGAATAAATAATAAAACACACGGGGTGACCTAAATATAACCATTGAAAAAGACAATTAGTGCACCTTTTATATATGCATAATTAAAAAATATGAATTTTGTTATTTACATTTAACAAGTAATAAACAAATGAATGAACGTGAAAATGACGTTCAATTGTATGCAAGATGCCAATTAGTTTGATTTTGTTATAAAATCTTATGAACGAAGACAAAGAACGTTTTATATTGAAAAAATTAGACGTAGCTGACTTCCCTATTTGTGACCGCGTCGCGTCATGTAGCGGAACAGCCCGCATTCTGAAAAATGACGAAACGAACCACTTTCCTCTTTCACATGTCGATTATCGTTATTGCTCAATTAATAACTTCCACTTTTGCGACACTCCATACAATGCACTTAATGCTCAAGAGAATAAACCAAATATTTTCTAAAAATAGATATCTTATCTGTCGGTCTTTATAGTTAAAGTGATCACAAATATATTTAAAATTCTAATAAAATAATTAAAAAGGTCTAAATGAAACAATGCAAAAATCATTTTCATGAAAATTTTGTGAAATGGTTTATTGTTGAAATACTGTCTATAGTTTACATCTACTCACTGAATGCTCTGCGTATGAGGCTAAGACAAATGCATATGGGCTCGGACGAAGTTACAGTAGATGACATTAAAGAACTACAGATGGAAAAAATAATAAGATTCTGCAAGCAAACCGAAAGGTTTGAAGGGGGACGCACGGGAAGAGTTGGATGACCCAAATCTCTGCAAGAAGGAAATGGGGAAATGGGTGAAATGGTCAGCGGACAACGTGGACTGATCACCCGTCCTGCCAAGGGTGTCCCCGATAGAAAATAATAATAAAATAATAATAGTCACGTAATAATAGAAGCGAGTAGTACACATTTAAATAAAACACTTTAACGGTTTACGCGATATATTAGTTAAACTTATTTGAAAATGATTTCTCCCCGTGACCACGGCTGGCTGCAAAGCATCCGAAACGTCGGGCCGCAGCTAAAAATCATTATCATATAAGTTTAACTAATATATCGCGTTTTAAACCGTTGAAGTGGCATATTTAAATGGTTTATTGATTGATTAAATAAATATAATACAGTATATACACGTACTTTCAATGCTGTAGAAATTTTAGATATAAATATTATGATACTGGCAAGTAAAAGTAATTTGTATTTTCTTGGCTTATTTTATATTGATACTCTTTTTTAGGTATGTCTCACGATTCGCGTAGCCGTTCACCGCTTTGTTTTGCTTGAATAGTACAATGCTGCACTTTTCCTTACAACCACTAAAATCGCCGGCGATGTGCGTATTCCATTGTATGTTTGCTGTAGGTACCATCTACTAGCTTATTTTACAGATAACCTGCCTATTACATAACCACCCTCGAGACCAGCATTAGTAATTTCCCCACGTTCAAATGTTCATTCGATACGCTACAAGTTCTGAGTCTAGAGCCTATTGGTCGGTCAATGACATTTCATATTTAAATGCCATATTGCCGGCATATATTCGCTTACTGTGGTATTCTGTACTTTAATTACTATTGATACAATCCGTTAATAATTCTATAACACAGTCTATTAAATAATGTTAAAGAAGTAAAAAATATATTTGTTTAAGTTTAAAATTGGACAAAAGAAGTAATCACTTTTCATTTAAGTTTTTCAGGAATGGCGTGCGTTAGTCTTTTTGGACATTTCTTTCCTTAAAAAGACTTCAACGCGCACGTCCGTTTTCACTTTTATATGAGTAAGAAAATAATTGGAATAAGTTTATAATTACTAAACCCCCTATATTAACCTTCTACTGAAGGTTCTTTTTACAGCTTTCAGTAAAGCGTGCAGTTATAGGGAGCAATAGAAAAACATTTTCAAGATAGAAAAGTTGGTTCTATCGTTTTGGAGTACGAGGAAGCGTTTATATATAATAGAAGATATAAAGTAATCACAGATTAAATGATATTACTTTTACTTTTCTAAAGTGCAGTTAGATGTTTTCCGGGAAGCAGTCGCGAGCGTGAGCCGGCGTTTCACAATCGTTGCGCAGTGCACCGGCGCAGCACTCTCGCCTAAATACACTTATTCAGATGCAGATCTCGCCTATTAGGATGTTATATTCCGAAGATAACTAGCAGTTATTTGTTACTCAATCTCAGATTAGAAAAATAATAGAGAAACATAATTATTATGTGAATTAACAGATTTCAGATTTAAAAAATTACGACACGGACAGGACTTGAACCGGCATCTATAGCATTTCAGCCATTGCTCTAACTAGTTGAACTCCCGTGTCCTACATATCATCGTCGAATTTGTAATAATTACTATGTTTTTACGGATGATCTGAAAACATCGGTGATCTGCGCTTTCTAATAGGCATGAAACAATTCACATTTATAACGCACCCGGTATTTCTTGTTAAGAATACTTATTTATTTATGTGAAAGTGAATAAGGGTCAAATCTGTCGCCCTCTGTTATTTGTTTTAGTTTTCTTATCTATAAAGGGCGTTTTTTAATTTAGTGATTATATATTATGTTGTCCTATAAAAATTAAATTGAAGTAATAAGTATTTTCTTTAGTTTACGCAAGTACTACTTCAATTTAAATAAACCAATTTTAACGGTTTAGTTAGTTAAACTTATTTCTTGGGGGCGACGATTCTCGGCTGCTATAAAGAATCCGAAACATTGCAGTTAAAATAATATATAAATAGGTTTAACTAGTAAATTTCACGTTTTAAATAGTTAAACGTGTTTCATTATATACTGTCTATGGTTTACGCGAGTAGTACACATTTAAATAAAACACTTTAACGGTTTAAAACGCGATATATTAGTTAAACTTATTTGAAAATGATTTTTATCTTCGGCCCGACGTTTCGGATGCTTTGCAGCAGCCGTGGTCACGGGGAGACTAAAGATGGAGGACGTCTCTGACGTCAAAGTAAAAAATTGCTACGCTAGCGCCATCTGTTCCGTTGAAGTTGGTATTTGGCGAAACTGGCCGGGTCCTTACAGAATTGACTGACGGTGTCTTCGCGTTTGCCGGTATGCTGTTTATTGGGATCCAGAGTTTTTAATATGGAATATTCACATTTAAAAATCATTTTCAAATAAGTTTAACTAATATATCGCATTTTGAACCGTTAAAGTGTTTTATTATTTAAATTTAAATAATACTTATAGTCTACTAAAGTTCAATAACCTCTCCTTTCCTTCTGCTTAAGCGCCCTTCTCCCTTCTTGGATCCCTTTCACCACGTGACCCTGTGCTTAAGCCTTAACTAATCTTTCAGCTAGCTCTAAAACCTGATCACATAACGTTGTCTTGCAACAGACTGAATGACGTCACGACTATTAGTTTAGATAACGAGACAAGATCCATTTCAAATAAATTATGCTTAAGAAATTGTTCGAAATCCGGTACAGTTTGGGTCACTAGAATTTAACGTTTGTTTGCTTAAAACCACTTTTCTCGATTATTGCACAACTTTATTTGAATTCTAGTATTTTAGGTGGCGATATTGGGTTAAGTAACTTGGCAGTGTAAATATTTATAGACGTGGCAAGTTCTCCTCAAACTACCTATAGCATTAAATAACTAAATAATCCGCTTATTTACACAACTGTACAATTCTTGCACATAAAATAATCTTGAGTGCTCAGCATTGTAAGCAGTGTGATAGAAAGCTCTTAAAACCCTCAAGACCGACACTACAGGTCCAACATTAAATTATTTTAATAGGACCAATAAATAAATGTAAAAGAATAAAAAATGTTATACGTTTTCCACAAAATAACAAACAGTAATGTTAATTAAAAAAAAAAAATTACGACACGGGCAGGACTTGAATTGGCATCCACAGCGTCCCGTGCTGTTCCTCTAACCAAGTAAGCTATCTATTCAGAGTCAATTCGTGAACATATGAAAAATATAATGTTTTCGTGCAGTATTCTGACAATTAATGATGTTATTTTGGCGTTTATACCTGCATTCCATATAACTTTAATTCCTAGAGTATCAACATTAATATCTTCACGCATTACTTGAAATGGATCAATTATATCTTAATCTATACTAGCTCAAGGATGAGGTTAGCGTGTTATTTAATTATCACTTACATCGTTAAGCATTTTATCTTAAATTACTTTGAGTTTCAATTGAATCTAAACTTTGTTTCAAGTAAAATATAAGCCGTGCATTATTTACAAGTAAGGGGTTAATAACTTCAATATTTTTCACAGTTCCTGCACACCATGGACTAAACAAATAAAAAAACGATATTAATTAAAATAATCTTGACCACAAGGACGGGAGCTGTGACAAGAGCAACGGTTTGAGTCCCACAGTAAATAGAGTTTTAAGTTAGTCAAGCGACAAATAGAACCTAGAAATAGTTTATTTTGCATAATACATTCTAAAAAGTAAGTAAACTACAGTAATAATAATAATGATTAAACGTTCAAAATTAGCTGATTTTACGGTTAAATATAAAAGTAATTACTTTGACAATTCCACATTTTACAAGTTTTTTTTTTATGTGCAAATGATTCTGTTTGCACATAAAAAAACACCAAGCAATGTTTATGAATAATATTTGAAAAGCATATGGAAAAGAAAGAGTCAGATAACAATTAATTATGGTGGTTTTCATATATGTTCTTCATTTATCGGATAATCTTAATATTATTTAGTGTTTTAAACAAACGCTCAAGTGAAAGCGAAGAATGCTCGCATGGGATCTTCATAAATTTACATAAATTTCCTATTCCTTTGTTTACATTGTAAGTCTGAGTTGCATTTTATTGCTTCCATTCTTTTCTAATTGGATTATTGTAGTAGGAAAAGATGGGCGTTTATTTTATGTTCTACTATCAAAAATATATTTCTTTCGTCGTATAGCACTCGAAAATTGTCGTCATTTATTTAAATAAAGTAATTTAACGGTTTAAAACGCGATATATACTAGTAAAACTTATTTGGAAATTATTTTAACTATTATCAGACGTTTCGGATGCTTTGCAGCAGCAGTCTTCGCGTGACTACTGCTGTGCTGTTAATTAAATGTGTACTACTAGCGTAGTACACATTTAAATAAAATATTTTAACGTAGTCTCAATGTTTAAGAACTTCAATTTAATCTTCATGAGATATGCGTAGACCTTATAGTGTATGCATGCATTTTTGTTTGTCTGTCGGTTTGGTGTTGACAAATTTAATCAAAATTATAATTAGTTTGTATTTATGTTTTTCTGTCCAGAACAAGAGCTTGACACCTTCGTTAATAAGCACATAATCTATATCTAGGAGGTCTTACTCTCATCGTCTGAAAAAGGCGATGTCCACGAGGAGCCGATAGCTCGAAGCTTCCGACGCAGTACACCCCTCCTTTGGCCAGGCATGGCGCGTAGTCATCGAGCGAGAACAATTTCGGCATGGCATAGTATTCTTCATCTGTAAATGTGACAGTATACTTGGAACAAGCCCTTTGATATCTGCTAGCCTACTGAGTTATCAAGAGCCCTTAAAAATATTGTTACTGAAGAGAAAGAATTAATTAACAAACAGAAACAAAAAAAAACGATTATAGATTAAAAGATAAATAGAGCAACAGCACGGTACGTTGTGGATGCAGTTCAAGTCGTGTCCGTGTCGTGTGTGCTTTTCAATCTATAATCGATTTTTAATTTATAAGTTATATAGTGCCATCATGTGCAATATATTAGGTATAAAAAATAAATTCAACTAAGTATGCAAACAATCGCCTCGAAATCGATAATAGATAAGAATGAAATAATGTTGATTATAATTATTTTTTATTTATATACCTAGCGTAACTTTGGTGTCCATTGGCGGCTATCTCTTTACAAATACATAATTTGCACATAGGACAAATTTCTACTTATAATTAAACTTTTTTGCGAAAATTTTTATCTATTCTCTATTTTACATACTCTATTATACACCATATCGTTGGTCTAACTATAATATATTAACCAATGTAAGAGCTTTCACAAGAGTTATATTTCACCCTAATACTAGCCCACATATTTTTAATAACCCTACAACACAACATGCAAAGAGGCGTGTTTTTGAAAAACTAACGATCATAGTATGCTGAAGTAGCTATCCCTTCTAACTCTTACCTGTTAACTCATATATCACATCGGGTATATTTGAAGAGTTAACTGCTTCTTCGGCCCGTGTGCAGACCATGCCCAGATAGAAGGCTACACTCGCGGTTAGCAACATGTCTGGCGGACGGCGGTGCACTACACTGAGCCAAATGCTTACCGACCGGTGTCAGCCAATTGCATAATGCCCGTTTACTAACCACCACCCTTTACTGGGCACTGGCAATTATTTTTCAGGGACTTCATATTAATATTATAACCAATTCCATAGACATAAACCTCCTTAGTCTAATATGAACAAAGGTTCGATTACTTGAATTTAATATTAAATTTATTAAAATAATTCAATTAATATTTATATTACAAAGAATGCAAAAGTGTAATTGTTTGTTCCTTACATCACACCCTAAAGTATTAATGTATTTTCGATGTCTAAATAAAACCTACATAACGTATTCTTGGCATTATTTTCCCAATATACATCTAAGTATATGGTAAGAAACAACTGAAATATAATATTAAAATATACTTAGAGTATGGTATATTTTTTTCCAACAATTAAAGTTTTAGAAATGAGGTTAATCAGTAAACGGCTTTCTATTAGTCTTAATTATACCTAACTTTGAAACGCCTGATCGTTTTATCATAGCACGCATGTGTTTAAACGTTTGAAACAAGTGTTCTAAAATCACTTCATAAATCACTTTGAAAATTAAAGTTTAACTTTAGATTAGAGACAAGCTCTCTTTTTTTTATTTCACACAGTAATAAGTAATGAAGTTCTTTTTCTGCGTAATGAATAGACACGTTTTTATTTTCGAGTCCGTGAATTATGAAAGGGAATTATAAACGAGAGTTTGACTTGGGAAAATAAAAAAATAAAAAAGCCTTTGTTTTCTTAAAATGGCTACTGAGTATATCTTTTATGATACAATAATATTTTAAAATGATAATAAAATATTAGGTCATTAGAAACTCTCTTGGGTATAAGAAGGAAGGAGGTTTGGGTGTCCTTCCGAGGAAGGAATATGGTTCATTATTTCGCATATATTTATGGGAGACTTACAGAAATCAATCGTCGGTAAACATTTTGCCTAAAGCAGCTTTTCCAGCCCCAAAGGAAATTCCACACTTGAACTTCTATTTCCACAATCTTATTCTGCTACTTCATGACTATTATATACGTAGAATGACGTCACTAGCCATCAGCTCAATTACTTCACCTTTTGACGGCTTTAATGCCAATATAATGATTGGGTTGACGTCAGGAGTCAACTGTGAACTTGACTAGTCAACAGGTTGTTCAGTATGTCACTCTGGTTTCTTTTAATCTCCTTACCAGTGGGTACACAACATTATATGAAAATACTAATGTTATAAAACTAATTTGACTCTTGCAACATTTGTAATACGTAGTGTGGTTATAATTTTAGAATATTTAATATATAGGCACTATTAAATGAAGTGAAACCCCGTTTCCCCCCCGTGGACCACGGGGGATACACATTTCTCTGCCGTATCACCGATCGGTTTTAGAAACAGGCGTGAGTTGATTAGACTTCAAAGTGCCCTGTCTGACCGGGACAATCTAGTCGGAATTGAATCCAGAACATCTCGTGCTGAGCACAATGCCAGGAAACACCTTTCATCATTTAGCTACATAGGTGTTATACGTATCCACAAAAGCAATAAAAGAAAGTATTGACGTTGTTAACTGACCTGCGCACTGTCATTAAAAGGTCTCGCACTGATTACAAAAGGAAATGAGTTGATTCATCATTTATCAGGATGTAACTGTGTAGGAATTGTAAAGTGTACTTATTATAAGTTTTAACACTTGGATCTGATTTATAAAAACACAACAATACATACATACGGGTGAAAACATTTCTGAGTTGGTTTCACTAATCGGCTATTTTACAGGAAACAATCTATTGTTTCCCCGGAATTCGAACCCAAGGCCTCTCGCGCTTAACGCAATGCTAATAACACATTTAACCATTTAGCTACAGAGGCGGTCACATAATATGAAGCCCGTAGCTTAATTAGTTTGTCATGGGGTCTACGTTTAAAACAGTTTTTTTTTAAATACAAGACTTGTCGCTTATTTCAACGCTATTTAAGTAAAGAGTGTTTATACAAAGGATAAAAGTTGTTTCGTCATGTTGTACCCATTAACAAGTAATATGTAAAGTGTTACATGAGTTCATAAGATAATGATGATGATACGACGTACGAGAATGACGGACTCGTTAAATGGTAGCTTAGTAGTAGTATCTTCAACACTCAGCGGGTCGTGGGTTGGATTATCGACAAGTCCAAGATATTTAAATACATATTCTTTTACATTTTAACACACTTTTTCTTCAAAATCTGATTATGTATTAGGAATGTCGAAATTCCGTCCAAGCCACGAACCAACTTTTACAGATGGAAAAGTTTTAGTATGTCGATTTCCGAATGTCTAATCAAAATAGGTCGACGGCGCATTTTGTTTAGATGTGAAATGATGGGAACTGGCCTTCCATGCAGTGAACCCCCATGTCTGTCTGTCCTCCTCTATCATAAAAAGGATTAAATGAAACCCTGAGCCTATTTTAAATAAAACACTTTAACGGTTTTAAACGCGATGTACATTAGTTGAAAATAATTTTTGCTACGAGACCGCCATCCAAAACTTTGGGGCGATGTTAGAAATATTTCCAAATAAGTTTAACTAATATATATTGCGTTTTAAACCGTTAAAGTGTTTTATTTAAATGTGTTTACTACTCGCGTAAACTACAGACTACCCTGAGCCCAAGTGTATATGAAAGAAGGACTAAAATAGATGTAAAGAAAAAAACAATTTCAACAAAATGCCTACGTGCGTAATGCCATAAAACCGTGTTGAATTCGTGCAAACAATTATAATAAACAATGATAATATTATAATGAGGAAAGAATTTATAAATTTATATTTTCGTTGAACGGTCTCTTAGCACGTGGGAGTTTGCATTTATTAAATTTATTTTCGTTCTTTTCCTTAATTCGCCCTTCTATAATTAAAATATTACACCATATTTTTAAAACGGACTGATTTGGCATTCGTTAACAAATGAGTTCGTAAATAATACATGAACGAATAAAAGTTTGCTCGTAATTAGCTTGAATGCATCCTAATAAGACGGTATTAGTCTGTATTACACTTCATGACTGTATTTCTAATGATCAAATCCTAAGTTATGAAAGAAATAAGAACCTTCTTTTAACATCTGTATGTTAAAAAAAAACAAGATCATGAACTTCGTAATTAAAGCCTTGAAACAAATAAGTTACTTCTTAAAAGTTTCGCTACAAACTAAAAGCTCTTGAATCATACACACTGCGACCGTGTGATTTAGTGTAATTTAGTTTATATAGATAATAAGTTAAACACAATAACTTAGTTGGGACCATAAAAATATTAAAACAGTTTATAAAACAACTCATATTTTGTTTTACGAACAGTTTTGTTAAAAAGGATATTTTTTTTAAACCAAGCTACTTAATATTTAAATAAAACACTTTAACGGTTTTAAACGCGAAATATATATAAGTCAATTTACTTTAACTAAATGCTTTGCAACAGCTGTGGTCATGAAGGATGTTATACGTTTTTAACTGTTAAAAGTGTTTTGTTTAAATGTTTACTACTCACGTAAACATAACGTACAGTAATTATTTAAACTTATTTTCAAATCTGAAACAGTTAACTGATATTTATAAAAAAGTTAGAGCTTAATCATTTCCTCGTTGCTTACATCTGTTGCTATACGACTATATATAAGGTATGATTTGTATCAATGTCCTATTCCAAGGACAAAAAATACTCTTGTCTCTGTATCTGTAAAGGTCTTTAGATTATATATTTTTTTAAAAACAGTTAAGCTTTTTATACCTAAAGTAAATAAAAAACCTTAGTAAATAAAATTGGGTGAATATATCGTTCGTAATACAAAATTAAACAATTTTGAAAGTTTGCCGTGTGTGCTTTGTGTATATCTCCATATTTTTTTTATATGATTGTTGAACTTTACGTTTAAAAATAAATGTTTAAAGATGCAATTTTTTTATATTAGATCTACCGTAACCATTGTGTACCAAGTATTGCTATTAGTTTCCTGAATAAATACGAATATATACTTTTATTCTCTTTAAAATTTCAAAAAATATTTAGATTCGTCAAAAAATGTCTGTCTGTCTGTCTGATTCTACTAAATGTTCCAAAGAGCAACATCACCGAGAAGAACAACCAAGAAACTAAGTCCGGCTTTCTTAAACATGTCTTATAAACTAATACATTTTTGTGAATTGATTAACCTAAGGAGCAATTTTTATGCATCCAGGGTCCAAGGTAAATTCAACCTTGATCTGTGTTTTATAATAAGTATTTGAATTTTAATTAAAGATACTCAAAAATAACTTACAATCGCAGTTAGTTATGCAATATACGTTAATGTTTTATGTTCTTAACTTATCTGGATCTTTTTAGATTTTTAGCAAGTTTTATATAAACAATCTAATCCTCAAACTCGAAGAGACCAACAAAATAAATAAGTGTAATCTTTAAAGTACCGACATAACGTAACTGAGTATGACAACAAAAATAGAATTTACTCTATTTTTTGAAAGGTTTCTAAGAAAATGATATTTTATAACAAGTAACAATATTTTTTTATAATTTGTGCGGATTATTCAAGATGTAGTGTATTCCTTTAATGTGAAAATAAATGAAGGAATAAATGAAAAACAGGTTTTATTTAGTATTACTAATCTTTATAAAAATATAATGAAACCCGCATTATATACGTCATTATTGGATAAAGAATAATCCAGAAAAAACCGCTTTGTTTTATTATAAACAACTATCAACTGTTACTATGTACGTTTTTTTACGACGTACTGGAGGTCAAAATTAAACAAATCTATATATATTTAAATAAAATACCTTTAACTGTTTCAAACGCGAAATATATATGTATTAAATGTGTACTACTCGTGTAAATGACATACTAAACTAGATCTATATACAGTCGACATACGTGAATAAGGCTAAATTAAATTTTATAATTAATGTTTACTAATTCGTAATAAGAT